GTCCTGCACGGGGTTTTACTCCCCTTGGTGAGACACACACACACACACACACACACACACACACACACACATACACACACACACATATATACATGTGCACACAAATGAGACAAAAGTGAGGTTTCATCCATCTGGTTTTATGACACTTAATTTTGCATGTAAGAAAAACCTCAAATAAAAAAAGACTAAATCGTGCAAAAGTTAGTGCACTTACAAGAAGATAAAATTTCTATACGGAATTCCAAGCAGAACCTATAAATATCTGCACCATTAATGTACACATTAAAGGAAGAGTCTGATCAAAAAGCAAATTTCCGCAGATTTCCCCACAAATTCTGACAGAACTGTGACACTGATGGCAACAGCCGTCTCGTTCGAATAACATATTTATAGTTGCGAATATAGTAACAAATCACGCAGGAAGTTTTAAAGCGGACGCTCCACATGAACGAGCTAGAGAACCATGCGTAATTACTGATATGGTAAACTTTTCTATAAGGAGATGTCTGTGTCGCATTTTTGGAAGGAGTCTCCAGTGTCAACACTTTGTAACAGTCAGAGGTAAAGCAGAGAGTTTTGCGTTTTCTCAGTAACACCACAACACGCGTCGTGCTGATTATTAACTTCGCGAGAGAAAAAACAGAGACTGGTGAGGGAACGCCTCTTTATACTGTAGCTGCTATAGCGTAAGTGATAAAAGGAACTAACTTGTCATACAGATGTTCCGTAACATGCATACCATCAATTTAACTATAAATGGATAAAAGTATGACGTGTTATTGTTTATTTAATATAAAAATATAATAATCGTGGTGATGTATAAGGAGCGAAATGCATTGGGACGTGCTGTTATTAGAAAATAAAAATCTGATTTTATTTTGGTTTATTTTTGGCGTTTTTCCTGTAGCAGCATGTCGCGGCATTATTTATTCCTCACTTATTATTTATTCCTCACTTTCTTCTTCACCTCTTCACTTTCTTCTTCTTCTTCTTCTTCTCCTTCTTCTTCACCTGCGTGCTGTAACTCTAGACACTCAGAATGTGTAATAAACTCCACAGAAATGTTCTACTCCTTCATTCAGTCTCGTCTTCCCAGAATGAATGTTTGTATGTTTAAAACAATCACATGATTACCTGCTGTATGAGATGGGTTTTAAATCTGAACTGTGTTTGGTTCTCCTGTTGACCAGTGTCTCGGCGCCACTCGCGCTCCACCAGTGCCCTGACAGGCGGCGACGCTCTGCAAACAGGTGAACGCTGGCATGAGGGGCTCCAAACCCACAGGGGGAGCCAGAGAGCACAAATTCACACATTTCACACCTTACACCTCAGCCTGAGGCCCTGTGTGAATAATGAAACATTACAGATTGCCTTTATATTCATATCTTACTGTCCGTATAATAAAGGCTGTCAGCTTGAGCAAGATGTGAAATGTGTGATTTTTGAAAAATGTGCGTATTTTTTTTATTTTGCTTGTTTTGTGCTTTATGTATTAATGTTTTTCTTATTGTCATATGGAATTTAGTTGATTGTTGTTATTTTCTTTTTGGGTTTTTTTGGAAATGTGTCACTAGATATATCTCTTTCTTTATTGTTTCTGGTTGTATGATTTATTCGTTAATTTCAGGAGCTTTAAAGAAGAGGTTTTCTCAATCCCCAAAACTACAACATTTCGTCATTTTTTTCCCAAAGTTCCATAAAGGTTTCCCAAAACAGAAACAAATAAGCAATTAAAATGAATTTACTTTTTTTTTTTTTTTTTGGTTACTGTAGTGCCAGTAGCTTTTTGCAGATTTGCCAAATTCATGCTAACAGCATTAGTGGTACATCACAATACCACTATGACCATGGTCTTTTTAAATGTTTTGAAATTATTATTAAAGTGAAAAGTATTTTCTAATACTGCTTACTCTGATTTTACTGTTTAGTGCTAACTGTTATTGCAACTCTCTCGTCTTTTTTGTTGGGTCCTGCACAATCCCAGCCTGGATACAAACCTCTACTTTAAAACTACAAGATTTCTATGTATTTATATATTTTTGCACTTTGGTCTTTATGTTTTTATTTGTATCATTGTACCATTTTTTATGTTACGTGTATAAACCATTGCATTTTATTGTGGTTTTTTTAATGTATTATATTTTGTAATGATAGTTGGGATTTTTTTATATTTAACGTTTCTGTTCATTGATTTTAAGGGGAAGTGTTTCTAATTTTATAATAATAATAATCATAGAATTTTAAAGATACCTCACAAATTTCCAGAGTGGCCATTCAGTTAATCTGGCGAGTTACTTCATTTAAAGCTTCTGGTTAAAATTTTCAGGGCTGGAAAATTAGCTACGAGTCCATTTGAAGCAGCAGAAGGGAGGGGCTTGTTGCAGAAGGGAGGGGTTTGTTGCAGGGGGAGGGGCTTGTTGCAGAGGGGAGGGGCTTGTCAGTGTTTTCACTGCAGTCGCAGTTTGAATCACAGGAAGAAAAGAGCTCTAAAGTGACAAATTGCCCATTTAGAGTTTGTTGTTAAGGAATAAATGAACATAATTGTGGCTTTCTCTTTTTCTCTCTCCTTTCTCTCAGATCGTTTTGGGCTGATCCATCAGGCGCGGATCTCTGCCTCGGTCAACGCCATGCGCATCCTGAACACAGGCATGGAGGTGGAGGCAGCTGTCGCTGATGCTCTGGTGAGGTTGCATTTGTTACTTGGCTTTGTTTGTAATGCGACACACACATTAATACCTGGCTGACCTTTAGCACTTAACACCAGAAGTGTGAACCGAAAATCCTGACATGTCACTGTCTTTGCTTTTCCCTCTCCGGCTGTCTTAAATCTCATCAGCTATTAGGAGACTCCAGGAATAAGGTTTGTTTTTTTTTTATTGACATATAACCTGTACCTTCTCTTCATCTTCATCATCTCTAGAGTCCATTACAGACAGACATCACTAACAAACGTCACTAGCAGCAGTCTCTTATGGAGCAATTAAGTAAGGAATAAAATATGTCACTGCATGCTGTTATAGGAAAATAATCCACGATGCAATGGTGCAGTTACTATGCCGAGGTTGACTAGCTTCCTATAACAGCATGTTCAGAAGTGTTTTATTCCTCTTATACCCCAGCAATTTGCCAACGATTTGTATTTGTTAAAGAACAGCATGTACTTTTTATCTGTTTGTAGTTACAATTAATGTCGTGGAACGTCATTAGCTCTTATCACTTACGTTGTAGCAGCTGTAAAGTCTTTCGTGCCCTCACTTTCTCTTAAAGTTAAAAAGACAAGAAATGCAGTTTGTCATATTACTGAGAAACCGCAAATCACAACATCCTCCTTCTTTAGACTTGTTTATTTTACCTTTTAACGCGACTGACAGCTGACATTGCAGACTCCTTCCGTAAATGGTAAATAAATGTCTCCTCACAGAAAACTTCACCACGTCAATGTTTAGGCACTTTTCTTTGTTAAATAATGTTTTTAATCAGTTTATTAATAGGTTTAGATTATGTGGAGCCTCCGACCCATGAGTCCCTGTGAATTAGTTGTTATTATAGAAATGATGACATATTAAAAAGAGCGTATAAATATAAACATTACATTTGGCACTGCAGTCAGAGCTGCTGTAAGAGAAAATTAATCAACACCTTCTGACCAATCAGATTCGAGAACTCAACAGTGCTGAGGTATAACTCCGTATTGTTTAGAATTGGAGTGTTTTCGGAGCCCTGTAGTGCAGTAAGAGCTTTCAGAGATACATGACAGCAGTCGCTAACCCACTGCATGCCTCGTGCCTCATGCCTCGTGCCTCATGCCTCATACATCAGCAGCAGATCCTCAGAAAAGCAGCTGCATGCCTAGTGCTGCATTAACACCAACTATTACAGCATTATTATACACCAGGAGTCTTGCTGTGCTTTGTGTTTTCATCGGATCTTTAGCGGAGGCCCATGCGGCGCTGGTACGAGTCTCCTGGCATGTACTCGGACGATGACGCCAACAGCGACGCCTCCAGCGCCTGTTCGGAGCTTTCCTATAGCTCGCGTAACGGAGGAGTGCCGCACTACATGCGTCAGACAGAGGACGTAGCCGAGATCCTAAACCACTGCGCCAGTTCCAACTGGTCCGAGAGGAAAGAAGGCCTGCTGGGCCTCCAGAACCTTCTGAAGAGCCAAAGAACCCTCAGGTGAGTTCATCTAAACAGAGGAACAGCTTTGGAAATGTTTCTTGTTGTGTTTTAATTTTGGATTAGGTTTGAGAATTAAAGCTAATACAGGAGCTAGATTAGCTGTGTATCACAAGTAACTGAAATAATGACCTCATTTACCACCTTTATTATATCCTGAGAGGGAATATCCACATTTCAGTACAGATAAACATGCACTTAAATGCACCCATGAGGAATTTAAAACAGATTAAATTCCAAGGAGGTGGTCTCATTTTACAGCCGGAATCCCTCCCAATACAGGCATATATTTATACAAATGCAAGCATAATTAACAAATAATTAACTTTTTCCATTTTGCACCTAGTTATATTTTCCTGGGCACAAGTAAACCCGCAGAGGTGCCATAAACATTTATGGTTTAGCTGTAACGTTTAGGATTTTTGACCCGTTGCTACAGCGATACAGGAGACACTCGAAAACTACACTTTTCTGCTTTTTCAGCTAAAGAAGTGGTCAGACCAAACACAAATAAAATCTGCTCAGTCAAACTCACTGAATTCATGGTCACTTTCGCTTTGCGCTGATTTGATGTAGGTAAACATTGACATGTGAACTTGTGAACCTCAGCCGTGTGAGCCAGGAGAATACAAAATGGCAAGTACCTTGCAATTCTATGTCAATAAACAGGTCGGTTAATAATAAAAGCACAGAGTAAAATGTGCCCTGTGACACCATCTAGTATTTTCCCTCATATCATATGCATCGTATGATTATGCATAATTTTTTTTTTATGTATATTCTGCATACTTTATATAGGTATCCTGTACTTTATCATTATGGTCCCTGGGGGATTAGTGGTTAGGCCTGCGCGCTCTCACCGCTGCGGTCTGGGTTCGATTTCTGGCCAGGGAGCACATGACAGTGCACACCCAGTGGCGAGGGTTGCGTCAGGAAGGGCGTGAAAACTGTACCAAGTCAACTATGCGGACCAGTGATCCGCTGTGATGACCCCTAACAGGAGCAGCCAAAAGAAGAAGAAGGAGAAGCACGACATGCTTCATTCACTCACATCCTCACTGCTTATTTTAAGTTCTAAAAATGAACTTGTTCTAAGTAAAAACTACTTACTAAAAACAATTGATTCAAAATTCAATTTATACATGGGCAGCAACTTAAACAAATTTCATCCATAAACAAAATGTCTTCAAGGCGACAAATAATAGACTTGTAGTATGCTACAAGTCGACTACTGCCATTTTACATGCATAATACATGCAAAAATAAGATTACGTTGCTTAACAGTGTTCGCAAGTATATAAAGACTTGGGGAAAGATTTTGCATGACATAGACTTCCTTTACTTGTTAATCAGCATTAGAGCCGTAGCTGATGGACTCTGTTTGGGTGAAATGTGTAAAATTGGGTAAATTAGATTTTCGCCAAATTAAACAGATTTAATTAAATAGATAAAGTATATACCAGGCATATACAAAGCCTCCATTCCTTGCTTGTAAATCTGTCAAAATAATGCATACGAGCAAAAACATAGTGAAAGGTGATTCTCTGTGATTCATGAATATTTCGAATCTCTTTTTTTTTGGCTTTCAGCCGTGTGGAACTCAAGCGGCTGTGTGAGATTTTCACTAGGATGTTTGCCGACCCTCACAGCAAGGTGAGTCACCTAGATAAAGACATCCTTTATAAATCCGACGAATGACAAAAGCATAAAACGTATTTATCTCCTGTAATGTGATGTGTAGCGTTGTGTGGTACTAACAGTTTTTTTTTTTTTTTTTGCATGGCCTTGCCTTGGTGTGGATTGCTGCATCAGAGAGTAAGTATATTCCGTCTGGGGTTGTTCAGTCAGTTGCTAATTCATATAAGTAATATTAGGCTTTTGTGTGTTGTGAATGCTTAGTTGTTGTTGTGCTGGCAGGTGTTCAGCATGTTCCTGGAAACGCTGGTGGACTTCATCGTGCTGCACAGGGAGGATTTGCAGGACTGGCTCTTTGTGCTCCTCACACAGCTGTTAAAGAAGATGGGCGCTGATCTGCTGGGCTCAGTGCAGGCCAAAGTGCAGAAAGCCCTCGATGTCACCAGGTCTGAACTCTACAGGAAGTTGTTGGGATAAAAAACAAGCGCAATTTTATTCTATAAGTAATAATGTGTCTTCTCTCTGTATTTCACAGGGATTCTTTTCCCTACGATCAGCAGTTCAACATCTTAATGCGCTTCATTGTTGATCAGACACAAACTCCAAACCTCAAGGTTGGTCGACTTTCTTTTTTATCTGAGCATTCACCTCGGGACGTAGTTCCGCCTACGCCTTAGTTTCGTTTAGTTTAAAACGAAAACCAGCATTATAAAACGGATCATTTCAGTTCTAAAATCTGATTGGCCGGGCCGTCTTTAAAGCTGCCGTAAGAATCCTCAGTATACACACACACCTGTGAGCATAACACAGTAACTGAGTTCTGTATTAATGCACCACACTATTAGCTGCAGTTTCACCTCTTGCAGCATATTAGACATGGAAACAGAAGAATTGTTTATTAGGAACATTATTGATAACAAATGAAATTGTTTATTGAGCACTGGTGTGTGTGTTTTTTTTTAAATATTATATCCTTTTTGTGGCCATTTTCTATAAGCTCCGCTTTGTGTTATACCGTACCCGGGTAGGAATGCCCTTCCCCATGATAAAATCACTGTTCGGGTAGGTTCTTGCTTTATTCATCATACGCTGAAGCACTGTTCTAGTGCGCTGTTAAAACGTAATCTGATGTGATGCTACACCTCATATTAGGCAAGTGAGTTACACCTGATGTTGTCTAGTCATTCCTGACCTAGTGGACTAGCATGAGCGTGTGTTTTGGATGGAGACGCTGTGGATGAGGGAGGCTGCTAAATAATGTAAACGTAACTAACGCTCATCTGGAAAAGAAATAACAAAATGAAAATGACCGTGCGCCACTTCAAGCTTGCCTTCTGTTTAAATTGTAAAAAGCAGATTATTCAGTAACTGAGGAATGCAAGTGTCCTTCTTAAATCCGTAGCTCAGCACTGCTGTCTGTATTGTGTAGGTGAAGGTGGCCATTCTGAAATATATCGAGTCTCTGGCTAGGCAAATGGATCCCACTGATTTTGTGAACTCCAGTGAGACGCGACTGGCCGTCTCCCGCATCATCACCTGGACGACGGAACCCAAGAGCTCAGATGTCAGAAAGGTGATGGTTTTTCCTTTATCTCTCTTTTTTTTTTTTTTAACAGCTGACCACAAAAGCTCTTGTGCTCCACCACAATTGCCCAGCTGTAATTACACACACTGATCGTCAGTTGTAAGCAGAGACCTATACGGGCTACAGAGTGGCTTCACGAAGACATTGATTAGAGATTGAGCTGCACAGTCAGCTTTTAATAAAACGGAGACATCCCCATATAGTGTGTGTGTGTGTGTATGTGTGTGTGTATGCATGCTCTGCCAGCTAGATCACTAAATCTGGTTACGGCAGTCACTGAAAGTACAAAGAAACACAAATAAGTAGATTGGCGGTAATAAGACACCCCTAACTAACGCCCGACCACACCCCTACCGCCACAGTGATAAGCAACAGCAAAGAATGCATCAAACCGCACTTCAGTTAACAACCATACACAGGCTACAAGTTACATTTCCAGCCTTTTTTTTAGGCTAGACTGTTAATGACTGAAATAAATAAATCCATGCAATACACGTCCAAAATAATCATAAATCTGTGTATAATAGTGTAATATCACACTTTCTAAGGATGCACAGATTCTTAAGATGCACTCTTTTGGACAACTGGGCATCTCAGTTTTTGTAAACATTGATTCTGGAGCTGAGAGCGTGCAGCTTACCATCCTTACAGCTCAATAAGCAGCCTTCGCTGGACGGACGATGCCTTGTCTACAGCAGCGTTTGGAAGGATTTTCCAGGCTGATAATGATTCGTTACTGTTTGTATTTTTTACAAGGTGTCAGACTTACTGACCTTGTTTAAGCTTGTGTACAATTACACACTACAGCTCATCTTTTTCGGATGCACGGTTTGTGCTAATCGTCATCTACTGTTTATAATCTGTCCCGACCACGGCACTGTTTCTCAACCCAGCACTGACTCCACTGTATCTTATGCGCTTACACCAGCACCAGACACACTAGGGTCACTGTCAGCGTCACTGCTGTGCTGAGAATGATCCATCACTCATATCAGGGGATCTCAGACTTTTTGTAGCCAGGGACCCCTTTAACTGTAAGAAAATAAATAAATAAATAAATAAATAAAATCCACTCACCCCCTCAGTACAGATTTTTTTATGAACAATCCACATATTCAAATACTAGACACAATATATAAATGTGTACAATAAATGGTTATTTATTGGAGCCAGAGAGTTGTTTTGTTTCTGAACTTTCCACCCATGGAAAGCATTTTTTTATTACAATTGTCCTTAGATTCCAGTTAATATTATTTCTAGGTATAACTTTGTTGATGATGGGTTGCAGTTTCTCCTCCTGTAATGAAAAATGTAATAAATCGCAGTCCTGCGGTTATGGTTCATGGACTCGACTATAAGAACCATGGCCATATCAGGTCACTGGTGGTCCACTGGCGGTCCAGAGGGATGCTGATAAATTAAAACTAGACGAGCTATAGTCAGTAATTGTACGTACAAAGTGACGTCTATCAGTGCAAGGTACGTGTACCCAGCTGTTCTGACTGTGTGTGTATGTGTGTATGTCAGACCCTGCACAGCTGGGTAAGTGAGGAGCTGGCAGGCAGGCTCAGCTCACTCACCTCCCTCCCCGTGGAGGGCAACCTGGAGGAGAGATGTAAGCAGGTAGTCAACGTTTCACTTTAAACCTGCATGACCGGCGCATAAACCACACTTGGCTCGTTCTGTCTCTCTGAAGCCGCTCTTCTGGATAACCTTCAACTCTTCTTATTTGGGACTCTTAACCTATTGATTGTGGGAAGAAGGTGTAAAAAGGCTGTATTCTTTCCTAAATGTCTATCTGCAGATGTTACTCTGCCATGCTGAGAACTTGTTACTATCGAATGTTTCTGCTGCTTTGGACTGGAATGATATGCTCAAACACCATGCATGCCGAAAATGCCGACTCTAACAATCTCTTCTGACCTTCCTATATCTTTAACATCTCCTTTAATGGCTGCAGTTATATTTTTATCTTACAGATGCACAATATTAGGATCTGACAGAATCATTTACAACTTAAACTTTACAACTTAAGTCATAAGAAATAAACAGTGAAGATATGGCATACGGTTATATGATGTGGTGGCGTGATGCGTGATCTGTTTTTTTTAATTATTACTATTAAATTATGTAGATGAGTTGTTACTATGGAAATGATAATGATAGCAGCATTAATATAAACCTGTGATTTGAAGTACAGCTACAGCTATTGTATAGAGTTTCTGTTATAGAAATGAATCAACACCATCTGACCAATCAGAAGCAAGAATTTTACAGCATTGTGGTGTAAAATTTGATACTGATATCACATTAGAGTGTCGCAGATCACCATTTTGAGAATATTTTTGTGCAAATGGTTTTACTAAAACACTTTATGTTGGTTTTTCCTCTAATTCCTCTCCTGCTTGTATACTGTGGCTTCAAGTATCATGATATGATACTTGTACAAGGTCAACTATGCTATGAAGCAGCTGTAAAACAACTTCTTCTCCTCGTATGGCTCGCTTCCCTCTTAGTCCTCTTCTCACTGTGCGCTGTACTTGTATTGCAGGCTGCTCAGATGGTGCTGATCTCCCTGTTCGAGCTGAACACCCCAGAGTTCACGATGCTGCTGGGAGCGCTGCCTAAAACCTTCCAGGATGGAGCCACCAAACTCCTGCATAATCACCTGAAG